TTATAACGATGCCGACCACAACTAATTTGCGCCCGCAAGCGCCACATAACGTTACCGACCAAATAGTACGCCACTGAAAAACCATCCAGTGAGCTATCTATAATATCCATAATCAATGGTATTATATATGTCGTACGAGCTATGTGCTACATGAGGCACGCTCTCAATGGGGCCACTACATACTCGTATGAATTACACATTATTGTAATACGATAATCTACACGTTATCGCAAAACTAAGTGGGTCCGTAGCTTCAGACTAGTAGATAATTTCACTACAGGTCTATACTGCAGATAGTTACTTATTTGATTGTTCATTTTCTGGGCTACCAGTTATTTTTGTCTTAGGAAAAAAATGTAACTTTATCATTAGCTTTTTTCAAAACGTCCAACATATATCTTGAAGTGTGTTCCAACGACCAGGAGTTGTAAAACGTTATCGATAACGTTATAACGAAAAAAAATCGACGACAACACACCCGTCACGTGGAAATTCCATGCTTCAGATAGCGAGTCGTCATCGTTTATATAAAACATTACCTCGACTATTTAGGGCAGCTGTATGAGAGTATGTACCGTTTTCGAAATGAGATCGTACGCCGGCGGCGACCAGTTTTTGTCGGTCGTCCGGCTCCACTGTCACGTGCGGGTTCGTGTACCTAGGTAAGCACGCGTCGATCATAAAGCTGCGTCGTTAAGTGTATCGCCCAGCAGTCGTACAAAATAATTTCATATCAACACAACGCGTTTTAAATCATTTGTACACGTCGGCACTGGACTAATGCGGCGCTTTTATTGGCGACAGCGCGTCAGTTCGAGCCACAGGACCAAGCCGCGCCCATGCGCACAATTTGGCCGTCGGCGTACGATTTCGTTCCGAACAGAGTACAGTTAATTTAAACCGATACCAGTATGTCTAATACGGTACAGTAATCAAACACGTTTTAGTCCGAAGCACCTAGACGCATAAACCTTGGTATTAGGTCTATGCCTAGACGTCACCACTCTTTATCAGTTATACCAGTGGTTCCCAAATATTTTTTTCGTCACGCATCTCCAAAACAAATAACAAATAATTGCGCCTCCCAATAAAAATTTTTTTTATTATTCAAATATAAGCATATCGATGTCGACCTTTAATATAAATAAATGGCACCGCAATATACAATATAAATATTTGCCTTGCGCCTCCTCTAATAAACGCTTACGACTCCTATGGGTGGCACGCTTCCTAGTTTGGAAACCACTGAGTTATACAACATTTTTTTCTTTTCAAGATATTTTCGAATAAAATTGTAAAATATAATGTGTATTATTGCACGTTTTCTTTTTCTTTTTTTTTCGTACAATTTTATTTACAAGTACAATGTACATATTGGCCAAACAAGTGTAAGTAAAGGGGGCCTGGAACCGATCAGCCCCGGGATCCTCAAAAGTTCTCGCTGGCCCTGTGTCCGTGTATATGATTTCGTTCAGAAGGATTGCTTAGATCCTCATAATCATTTAAGATTTTTTAAAGGAAATATTGTCTAGTAGGGAATCTACGAAATTACCAGTAGTAATAATTGTAAAAATTGTCGAAAAGATCTTTTAATTTTTATACTTAATAAAAAAATATATATATACCCAATGTAGTTAAAAATTATATACAGTTCTGTTATATAAATTACAAAAAAAATCTTTTTGTAAGTAATTTTTTTTTTTTTCAATCTTACGAACTATAAAATAATAATATTGTTACAGACACAGAATATAATATATTATTATATTCATATAAAATAAAAGACTTTTTCTTTGATACTTCTATTCTTTATTAAATAATATATAATGAAAAAACCAATCACCCATGTACAATAATTTAGACTAAAATATTAACATTAACTATTAAATAATATAATTTTTCGGGTATAATCTAATAATATAAAAATATAATATATAATATAATATAAATATATAAAGTATTATAAATATTACAAGTATAATGAATTAAATAAATAATGATAATTATTAGTAATAGATTAAATGCACCACCACCGTCTATTTATAAATTATATTTCCTATTTTAATTATTGGTTTAAATTATAAATACTTTTATTTTATCATTTTTGATGCATTCTTGAATACAATTAAATATATATCAAAGAATTTTTTCACTTTTTAAATTTTTTTTAATCATACTAGAATATATTAATTTTAATATAAATATTTTTTTTTCTTATAATTAGTATCATTATTACTATTATTAATACAAAACATACAATTATGTTGTTTTATAGAGTTTTACTATTATTATTTTTAATGCATAAGCAATGAACTGCGACTTGTAGAGACAAGATATAACAACATTACATAGTTGTTTTAAAAGACAAGAGTTTAGACGATAATTTTATTTATTTTAAACCTGTCTTATTGTGATTATGTATTACATTATTTAATATATATTTTTAAATTTATTTGTCAAGTCCGGTATCCTTAAAGAATATTATATTTAATTAAATTTGGGGTACTATGAGTGGCAGACTGTTATTATATATTTGTTTGATAGTATTTCGTTGTGTAAAGTTCATGTTGTTGGTTATTGTCGTCCATTTAATGATCATGTGTTAAAATTAGGTCCATTCTCAATCGGTCATTATGATAATTAGGAAAAGTCGGTTTGGTTTAGTTGGTATTAATTATGAGGTGTACCGTTAATATTGTTTTGTATAGACTTTCAATGTTTGTTTTCGTAAGTTTACGTTATTAGTCTTATAAGTTAACTTTTTTTATTTAAAGTATTTTTTTTATTAAGTATTTAAATAGGTTGATGGGTGTTTATTTCAGTGAGAATTTCTTATTGGATGTAAATAATTTCAGTTCTCTTCTCGTTAGAGAATTAATTCTTGATTTGATTTTAGGTTTTTATATTTTGGACGATTACTTCGAGGAATAAATTACAAACATACCAAACCAATGTAATATGGTCACGGGGTTTGGATTGCTTACGAACCTACAAGGATTTATTTAACTCTCATTTGATAATTGGAGTTTAACTCACGTTGATTGGTAGTCGTGTAGCATGTAGTTCGATAAATAACCGGTTTTCAAATGTATAATGTACTATTAAGTTATCTTACACATTGTTAATAAGCTCGTAATTTACTTGAATCATATATTGAGTTAGATATCCCACGCCGAAAGCAAAAATTATTAGTTTTAACTTCGAAACAATAACTACGATTGAACAATTTAAATGAGTAACGTACCAATTGTATCGATCCGTTACTGTTATTATCATTAAATTTAAATAACTAGCGAATATAACAGAGCGTGGATCGTCTGTACAATCAATAATTCACTTCATAAAAATATGTGAAATAATATAAACTTTTTATTCGAATCATCTATATAGAAATATATAATAAATAAAAATCGAGCTATATTACATTATGTGACTTCATTACCAATGATTTTGTTAATCAAAAAAAAAAAATCACTGCAAACTTAGTGTTAAGTTCTGTGAAGAAAAAAAAACTTCCAAATATTTTTTTTAGGAAATTGAGTAAGGAAAAGGATGTATTTATTATACTATACATACATTTGTCTGTCACTGTCAATAGTATTCATGTCTGATTGTAAATTGTGTTCTGCAGTTGGTTACACTGGGATTTAATTAAATTCATCCAAAAAAATATTCTAACCCAGTTGGTCGCTACGATCCGAGTGGTTGATACTCAACAGTGACTAATGTTTTAACATTAGTTAAAAAGTATTTTAAATAAAGAATACTGGAGACGACATTACAGTTGTTTTATTAACACTTAAATTAAATCAACATAAATAATTAGTCAAACGTTGAAGGCAATAATAGGTAAAGCCTTTTTATTGAATAGCTGAATGATACATCTAAATTCGGTTTTTGATTCGGAACTCTTATATATGCTGCCGAATCGCTAATATTAAGTTTATAATTTTACATAGTTCAAGGTTTAGAATGTTTCGCATAATTTACATAATATGATAATATGTAGAGTAATACTTAGTACAATATAGTACAAATATATAAATAGTATTGGCGAGCATAATCGAATACTATATAACAAATATTAAGTAACCTCGTCAGCACGTAATTGAAAATGACATAACTATAAAATTATAAGTAAATGCCATAATTGCTCTTTTTTTCTGCTCACTGCTATCAATATTTACAATATTTACAATATTAATCATAATGAATACCAATTGTTAAATTGTTTAATTTAGTATAATCTGATCTTGTTTAGTATGCATAAACTAGATAAATTTGAATTAAATTTTAAATAATAAATAAAAGCATGGACGTTGATAAATATATGTAACAAAAACCTATAGAAAACAATGAACGGTGTTCAAAAGTATTATATTAAGTTATACATTTGTATATATTTATTTCCTAATGCCTTGGAAAAATAGATATTTTAAAAATAAAAAATTAAAAAATACCTAACAAATGTTTATCATTTTAAGGTGAATAACACATATTAGTTTTAGGTAGTATAATAATAGTCTTCATTTCTGGTCAAACTTTTAAGATAAATACACACACACATTCATCATCTTGAGTCAAAACTAAATATTCAATTATAGTTGATAATTTTTAAATTATATCTTCCTATTTGAATTATGTTACCCAATAATTTATCAATTTAAATTTATTCATGCAATTTTGGACCGATGTCACATAAAAGTATACAATTTCTATAAGCATGTTTTTATGTGGTTTAATCATAATGCATTAGTAGAATAAAAAAAAAAAAAAGATTATGATAACTTAATACAAAAATACTTAATAAGATACTAGAAATATAAATAATGATTTAAACAACATAGAGTTATAATTCTAAAAATATTATATAAAAACTGTATAATAAAATAAATAATGCATATTACATATCAATAAATACATGAATGACAAAAATTAAACAAGCAATGCAATGTAAATTTATAGTTAACAAATTAATTAATTTTACATAACTATAGATGTTTAAATGTTAAAAAATTAAAAGTAAAATCACTAATTTGTCATAACATCATTTTTTATTAAAAAATATTTACTTTGACTATTGAGAACGTTCATTTCTATGAAAAACACAATTCTATTTCTGAAAAAGATAATTGATTATGAAACCATTAGTTAAATGTAAATATTTAATATGATCAAGCTACAATAGTTTAGATATGTTAAAAAATCAATAAAATAATGAAATTGAGGATACAAATAATATAGTGAAATCTTACTTTATAACAGATGAAGCAATAACAACCAGTTTTACAGTTAGAACAATTTGTGCAATTGGTTGCCATACATCGAGACTAAAATTAATAAAAATTAGACATTAGACCAATAGAAATATTAAGATAATATGCAATTACTAATTATTTTTAAAATGGCAAATCATATCATAATTGGCAACATAATATTTTGAATCACTAAATGCAGAAAGGGCACATGTCCAATATTTTACAAAAATCACTTTATTACATAATCGAATTTAATGTTGATAAATACATGGTTTTGTGCAAACGAAGCACATGTTCTATTTAACAGATCCCCATTAAAAATAATTTAAAATTTCGTTAAGAAGCGTTATACCCAAAGCAAAACGGTTACAATGACCGATAGGAAGCGCTATTAGGTGTTCTTACACAGCACAAGCACACGATAAACGCACATAAAATCATAGTTGTTATCACGCGATTGACAAAACGGTCTAAAAATAATCAACATGTGAGCGAGTATTTTATTATTTCATCAACCGTCTTAGAATGCAGATAATGTAAAAATAATATAATGGTGATTATAATAATATCACCACAATAGTCAAAATTCATATAATTTTCGCGCGCGCTTAAGAAACTAATTATTGATTAAGATTACTATTTTTTATGTGTACACAAATAATTATACTAAAACACATTAAAATAAAAATTAATTAATATATGCATATTAATATTTTACTCAATATTATTAAACTTTTATATTCTCATTTTTATTTGTTATATTGTCTGATATATGTTTTATAACAATATCTGATAATCCCCCCCCCCAAAAAAAAATTAATAATATAACATTTATTATTTTATCCATAATCGAGATTCTTAAATATTAAAATATAACTTATAAGTGAAAATCATTTAATATTTATTTTAATTAACAAATTAAACAAATTATAACATAATAGGTTTGTTCCAACACGGAATTTGGGATTAGTTGCCGATTAATCCGTGATTGATTTACTGCGCATGCGTTCATGTGGATTGATTATGGACCCTGAGCTCTGTTGGAACGCTTATCGAATTTTCAATGATAAGATATGAGATTTATAATAAATTAGTAAAATTAAATTGCGATTTAAATAAAAAAAATTCTTTTCATTTTAAATGTTTTAGATACACAGTTTAGACGTTAATTATATAAATTTATATATATATATATATATCTTTTCAAAAGAGAACATACCGCTTTCGCGCATGTAGACTGACGGGTGTCAACCATCTCGAGGCCAATTTCTCCCACTTTTATTGAAACGAGACATCAATCGAGCACGACGGTCGCCGATCAAAGTTTGCCGACCAGTATACACCTTATTCCAATAACTTATTTACAATTAATAGATATCTGACAGGAGCGGCGGTGTAGCATGTACAGTTATATAGGAATGCACCGGGTGTATAGCGGGAGCGCGCTCGTCGTGACCGGCGTTGCTTAGGAGGAGCTTTGGACAACTGGTGGGGATGCGCGCCGCCGAACCAAAACCTGTCGCGCAAGCGGTATGTTCTCTTTTGAAAAGAGGTATATATATATATATATTATAATTATAATATATTTATATTATAATAGTATATTTATTTTATACTATATATAGTTTATGTCGTGAAACAAATAAATTGTTGATAAACGTTACATGAAAATTCAAACGCGAAAAATTGATAACATGAATAATAAATGTGATAATAGTTTCTCTGGCTATTAGTCCCCGTCGGAATCAGCGATTAAAACCTAAAACTGGTCTAATGACGAGTTGAAACAACCGTCTGATAGTTTGAGTTTGCGTTTAGGGTGTGTTGGAATGCAAAAAATATACTGCGCATGCTCCCACCAGTTCTATGATAGTTAGACCGCATGTTGGAACAAACCTAATAAAACATACAATTTCCTTTTTTTTTAATTAACAAATTATTATGTAATAAAAATAAAAAATAAATTTAATTTACAAATTATAACATAATTATATTATTATTATTATATTTATTATATTATATTTTTAAAATTTGGTTGAACGTATGTATTATGTCGTGTTTAGTGTGACGTTCAGTGACGTCACGAGGCTATTCTATATTTCTTAATATCTCGTAGAATAATATTTTTTTTTAATCGAATTTTCACCAAATCATTTTATATAATCTTAGCAACAATAATTTAACATTTAAAAAAAATGTAAAGATTTTTTTTTTGTTTCCTGAAAAACTTTAAAACTTGGACATGTGTTCTTTCTGCATTAAGCGATTCAATATATTGTGCAATGAAAACCACATATATTATAATAAGAAAAATGCGTAGTTATATTCATTAATTAGTAAAATAACAATGAAAAATCATTACCTGGGAATTATGATTAGAAGGCTGAAAACTATCTACAGTAGCGTTTGCAACTTGTTGAGAACTCATAGACATCTGCTTATTCCAGTTTTGGTTATAGTGGGAATTTAAATGATTTTGAAATAAATAATTATTTATTGAAGCCTCTCTGAACGAGGCATTATTTAATGGTGGTTCAGTCGAATTTCTATTTCCAAAGTATGGAACTCCGGCAATTGGAGGAAATGAAAATTGGTTGAATTTCGATGAAGTATTATTGTTTGGATGCGAGAAACTAGTATTTGGTAGATCATGAAAAACATGATCATAAGTTATGCAATTATTAGTTGTTGCTGAATTGTAATAATTATTTGACGTTGAATTATTTTGTGCAGTATTACAGAATGTATTTTCAATAAGACGATTGGACCGAGAATCCGAAGTAACTGAAGTTTGAGTATTAATACTGGTTGAACTATGAGTATATATAGAACTTCTTGAGACTGAAGATTGAGCAATCGTATTTGTTGAATTTTGATTATTCTTAAGAATTCTTGAAGGCTGAGCTCTTGAACGAATTACAGGCGAGTCTTGCAAATTATTGTTTGAATACTGAGTATTAGAAATTAAATGCGAGGTATTCATTGCAACTTGCTGAGTTCCATTAACAAATGAATGTAGACTAACAATAGGATTTGAATAATAATAATTTACATTAATTGGAGGTTGAATACTCGGAGTAACTGAAACATAATCTTTTTCATTGTTTGGTTGTAAATTAAATGTGCCGGAGTTGTAAATATTATTGTAAGAACTCAAGTGAATAGAGGTGCTAGAATCATGGGCAATATTGAATTGTTGAGGATTATTTTCAACAGTAAAATTGGTACATGGCGATTTTACTTGAGTTTTGGTCGATTTCTTCAGGGTCCTGGATAGGTTAGGATTATTCTTTGAATTTTTTTTTTTCGATAAAACACTTGAATTTTTTTTTCTCAAAGCATTTTCCAATAAATTATTTTTCTCAACATTTCTATGATTGCGTGGTTCTGTAGTTGTTTTGTCAATTGAATAAACGCCATTAAAAGAATTTGATAAACTAAATTCAGAACGTACAGACATCAAAGGTTTCGATTTAACTATCTCAGCTGTAATTTCACTTTTAATTGAATTTGTTATTTCAACACAATGATTATTTAATTCATTCCTATTTGATTTGGAACCACCAACAAACATATTTTCATCGTTCGACACTACTACATCAGAGTTAGAAAAAGATGAATTATAGATGGTGAAAAAATCATCATTTTGGTCCAGACATTTACTATTTTTTGTTATTGGTTCCGTAATAGGACTATTCTCAGCATTTATCATTGTAGCATCAGGCAAGGTAGATAATGCATAACTCAAACACAAACCATCATCATTTATACTAGTGGTAGAATTTGATATTTTAATAGTTTGATTATTCATTTTGTTTTTTGTATTTTGTTCGTTTACAGAACTATTCTCAGCATTCCTTAATGTACCTTCGGATAGGGTACATGATATATTATTCAAACACAAGCCATCATCTTTTATAAAAACATTTTTACTGATGGCCAAATTGGTTATTTTATCAGTATGATGAATCAATTTGATTTTTTTATATACGGGTTCCTTATTTGGACTGATCATAGCATTTTTCAATGTAACTTCGGATAGAGTGGATCGTTCATTGTTTTTATTGATGATCAAACCTATTTCGACAGTAATGTTATTTGATTGATTTTTCGTTATTTTCTCCCCAATAGAACAATTCTTGGGATCAATCAGTTTAACGTTGGATGAAGTAGATGTATTAGTCAAATATATATTATCTATATTCATATCAAGAGCCGAATTGGCTAAATCGGCTTTCTCATCCATAAAATTCCCCAATTTAATTTGTTTTATAATTGATTCCTTATTAGGACTAATCTTAGCATTTGTCGATGTAACTTCAGATAGGGTGGATGGTTCATTGTTTTTACCGATGGTCGAATCTTTTTCGACAGAATAGTTGTCTAATTGATTTTTTGTTCTATCAGGACTAATTTCAGCATTTATCAATGTAATTTCGGATAGGGTGGATGGTTCATTGTTTTTACTGATGGTCGAATCTGTTTCGACAGAATAATTGTCTGATTGATTTTTGCTTCCATCAATACTAATTTCAGCATTTGTCAATGTAATTTCGGATAGGGTGGATAATGGTCCATTGTTTTTACTGATGACTGAATCGATTGATTCATCAGTTTGGTTCTCCAATATGATGTTTTTTGTTCTTGGTTCCCCAATAGCATTTCTTATTTTACATTCCGATCTGATAAATAATGATTTACTCACCTTTAGGATGTTATTTTTTTTATGCTTCTTTGAATTTAGCTTTTCAACAGTATAGTTATCGCATTTGATATTTGTTGTTCTTGGTTCTCTTATAGGATTATTCTCAGTATTTGTCACTTTAGTTTCTGTAGATAATGATTTATTAACCTGTATGATACCATTATTTGTAATGTTGGTCGAATCAGACTTTTCAACGGAATGGTTCACTAAGTTTTTATTTTTAACATGAATCGATTCAAATTTGGATCTGATAGTAGCAGCATTTTTTGGCTTTAAATGAATTCTCCGTTTACTGTTGGTTGTATCTGACTTTTGAATAGGATGGTTCACCATATTCTCAATATTTGTTGTTTTATCTTTACAT